TACGCCCCCCCCCCCTCCAAAGAGAGGCTTGCAGTATGTCCACTTCAGGGGCTCCAGTGGTGGTGTGGCTGCGCTTTGCAGAGCCAGCCGTTGGCAATCAATCACCAGCCTCCTCGGGGTAATGATGGGCTTTCTTTCTACTTCTGTAAGCAGTCAGTCCTCCCCGTCCTGTGGGGTCGCTGTGAGTCGGCTTTGACGCGATGACAGGGGGGTTTGAGTTGAGTGTGTAAGTCAGTGACCTTGTTACCCGGCCATGTTGTGCAACCATTATCACTATGTCTACTTCGAAATTTCCCCTCACTCTAAATAGAAAGTCAGTATTGTTTAAGCTATAATTCCCCATTTCCTTGTTCCCCGCCTCCCTGGTAACTGTTATACGCTTTATAGTCTTTATGTATCTGCCTGTTCTAGATATTTCACATGAGTGGGATCATACAATATTTGTCCTTTTGTGTCTGAATTATTACATTTAGCATACTGTTTTCAAGTTTCATCACGACTTCATTTCTCTTTATGGCTGAATATTATTATTTTGCATGTATGTACATTTTGTTTATACGGTCTAATTCTAGCTGCCCTTTTCCAGTTAATTTTTTTTAAGTTAAACTATTTGTTGGAACTCTTTTATGGAGTGGGCTCTATTCTTTGTGTTGAGCTCACAGAAGTGAACTAGACATACAAGTGTGCCCTTATGAAGCAGACATCATTTGAATGCGGAAGATATATAATAAAAAATAAACTCAAGACCCATTTTAAAAAACAGTTTTATTGGCACTTCATGCACATTTCATACAATCCAATAATTCAATCATATCAAGAAGAGTTGTACAATCACCACCATGATCAATTTTAGAACATTATTTTCTTCCTTGTGCTCCTTAGTAATGTAATTATTTTTTAATTATGGAAAATAGACACAAGAAAACATTCTTCAATTCAACAACTTCTACATAAGGGTCATTTTTTAAAAGAAACACTTTTGTAATTGTGGACTAGTTGGAGATTTATATTTCAGGTCACCAATATTGTATTCAACAATTTAAGCTACATATCAGCCCCTTAAATAGCTTGCCCTATCCACTTTCCTCTTCTTCCCCTGTGGAATACTACCTTCCCTTTCACCCAGGTTAACATCCTTCTACCCACTAGCCTATTGTGTCATCTCCCTTCACCCCTCTTCCCATATTGCTAACCATCAAGATCTGTTTCTGTTGGTATGAAAATGGTGTTTTCATGCAATATTTGCCCTTTTGTGATAGACTGATTTTACTAAGCACAATGTTCTCCAGGTCTGCCCACTCCATGAGGTGTTTTGTAGTTTCTTCTTTTTTTTTTTTTTGGCGATGCATAATATTCTATCACGTGTGTTTAGCAGAGTTGCTTTACCCATTCTTCTATTGCTGAGTCATCAGGGTGTTTCCATCTCATGCTCTGTTTGCACCTGTTATAGCTCTCAATTCTTTAGGGCATATGCCCAGCAGAGGGATTGCTGGATTGTATGGAATTTCTATTTTGGTTGTTTGA